TCATGATTAAGACTTAAAGAAAGTCTTAAAGGGCCTGAAGCAGAGAACATACCATTCTGTTGTAGCTGGTGGTGTTGAAGGTACGTTCAACACCTCTGTGCTGCAGATGACGCCAATGCAGCTTTACGCCGGGGACACACCGGCCGCCGAAGCGCCGCGAAATTGGGGCCGCCTTCATTCGGTGCCCTTGTTATCCTATTCTATAGACCACATGGGACGCCGAAGCGCAGCGTTCCGGCGCTCCAGCCAGCGCCGTGCAGCGATCGTTTCGGCGTCTGCTCTATTTTTTTTGCAAGCCGCGGGTGGACCGCGTCACTTCTGGCAGGAAGTCAAACCTAGACAAAAGAGGAAGGCCGGTAAATTTAACAAAATAAAGCATTTCAAAATACAATTCCGCGGTAGTCAAATGTGTTCGTAAACAGACACTGCATAAAAACCACACACACACACACACACAGACACACACACAGACACACACACACACACACACACACACACACAGCAAACTTGTGTGTGTGTGACCACATGAAGGGGGTGTGGTTTTGGGTGTCTTTCAACTGGACGGAGCAAACAGAACAGAGAGGCAGAAAGTCGTAGGACAGCTATTAACAACTGGTTCACACCATAGGTTCACACCTATGTATGTATGTCGATGGTTCACACACACGCACAAACCATCGACATATAAATATTGGACAATGGGTTTCCATAGACTCCAATAACACATTTTTGAAGATAAAAGGGAGGTAGCCACCACCGCCATTTTGACCGTGTCACAGGTTCCGTCAAGCCCAGACAATTCCACAAAAGGGAAGAGAGGTGGAGCTGAGGGTGGGGCTGTAAAGCTGGGATCAACTGACGACACCCAGTCGAACTAGCTACAAGCTAACCCAACGCTAACGCGGAGTTGGGAGCTAAGCTAACGGAGGTAGCAACCTAGCTACAACCGGAGTTAACTGTGCACAACACCAGAACTTCTGAGTCAGAGATACGCCGGGCTGACCGCTGGGTAAAACCGGGTGGAACACAGAGGTCTCCGAGAGCTCCACAAGCCGGCAGCCGCACAGCAAACAAGCGCCGCTGCGATCTGAGATGCGCAGAGCTGCCGCTGGGGAGAACCGGGTGGAAAGGTTTCCATCCCAGAGCTCCACAAGCCGACAGCCCGCGCAGCAGACAGAAGCCGCGATCAGACAGAGATGCACCGAGCTGCGGGGAGGGGAGAACGGGTGGACAACAGAGGTCTCCCGAGAGCTCCACAAGCCGATAGTCGGAACCCAGCTCCACCAACATGTTATATTTGAACCCATTTTCTAAAGTGCAGCATTATGTTAAATACACTGGGTTTTACCCTATTACATTTAAATTTCATGGTTAAACAGTACATGTGAAAATCTAAGCTCAGCTCGCCAGTGACCTAAAATACATAAATATAATTTTACTTACCGAAAAAAATGAAGTGGAGACTCCTTGGATGCTCTATTAGTGCAATTAATGCCACAGCAAGTTATTTTGTCCAACAATTGCACAAATAATATCCAAAAACGAATACACAAACACAGAGACTCAAATCCCGGAACAGTTTCCAAGCCAGACCGAGGCTCAGGCTGAGGCCTTTCCACGGAGCTAGCTCTGTGGTCACGTGGGTCTGATGCTCATTAATTATACAGAATTTTAGGCTTTTAATACACTTAAACAGAAGAGTGAGGAAAAAAATTCACCCCCCTCAGAGTTGTCATGAGTGTAAACTAGATAATTTAAACCAAAAACATGTTTTGGTACCAGGCTGTAAACATGTTTATTTCTGCTGTGAAATTGGTATTTTTAACATGGGAGTCAATGAGGATTTGCTCGCTTCTGACACCAGCCCCTAGTGGATGAGGGTGGGACTGCAATTTTTGGTACTTCCGGGATTGCTTCAATTTTTGAGCCGCACAACACACACAAACAGCAAGGGGGAGGGGGGTGTAGAGGAAAAGAGCAGAGAAAAGGCAGAGAGGAAATGGAGGACACCAAGTGGTTAAAAGGAAAAACTACGAGGCGCGCCTCGACCGGAGCGGAGAAACAAGCGTCTGGTCTTAACTGAGGAGCAGCGAGCAGCGGCCGAATTTTGTGAGCGCTTCGCCTCCCGGTGCTTCGGCGGCCGGTGTGTCCCCGGCGTTAGATGCTGGTGTGGTTCAAACTCCTCTATGCCACAACTGACAACATGCTGTCTGACTAATGAGCTAGATTCCAGTGCTTAGCCTTTTAATGAAGTGATTCATCATAGGAAGAAAGTTTTTCAACCATTTTCTTTTTTCAACAAATGAAAACAATTCAGATTCTTTTGAAGGTGGATGCAGTAACAGGTGAACAAAAGTTCATCTGTAACGTGTGAAAACTCAACCCCAGCCTTCCCATCGTGGCAACACCAAGAAAGTTTTTCTTCTGAAGGGGAGAACGCTTCCTGCTCTTCGCAGTCCAGTCACTGCAGACTCAGACTTCACACTTGGAGCCGTCACTCATTAGACGTTAAAATTGATGGATGTTTATCGGGGCTGAAAATACCTCCCATAGATCTCCTATGTAAATGAGCTACCTGCCTCGCTCCTTGTCGACTGGAACTGGAGGAGAGGAATCTGTTTTTATGCAGCGGCGCGTTTCTTCAGGGTGACCTTGATGATGTAACAGACTCGCAAATAAGAGCTGTTGGATTTCATTATGGATGCATTCCCTTTGTGTCTCATTTGGTGGAAATGGTTTCAGAAAATGGCCTTTAAATAGTGCTTTGAGGGAGAATCTGTGCAATTTGTGTCAGATTTGGTTAAGCAGGGGAGCTGTACGTGCAGCAGTAATTTAATGTAAAATGATGCATCCATCTATTATGGCAGCTATAATAAATGTTTATAAGGATTTTGTTTCGCATCGCTGTAGAAATTGACTAAGACCCAGGAAGAAAAAACACACTGCTATTATATTTACCCTTATTTATACTCCGATATGTCCTTAAACATGAAAAAATTATGCATCTTATGTAGGATTTATTCCAGAGATCACTAAAGAAAAGCCACTAATTCATTTTAGAGGTTTTCTGTTCAAACCTTAAATATCAGACAAATTATCCATCCTACTTATTCAGGAGAAGAAAACCTCAGACGTCCCTCTCCCCAGGTCAGATACACTACCCATCCAAAAATCCCAACCTGGAATTAACTAAGCAAAAAGGTACAGTTGGCACTAGACATGCCTGCCTACTGTACAAGCCTGTAGGGGCAGTGCTATGATCTGGGGCTGCTGCAGTTTATCAGGTCTAGGTTCAGCTGCAGGATGCTCCAAGAATTAGGTCAGCTGACTACCTGAATATCCAGGTTATTCCATCTTCCCTGATGGCATGGGTATATTCCAAGATGATAATGCCAGGATTCATCGGGCTCAAATGGTGAAAGAGTGGTTCAGAGTCCAGAAAGAGAATCTTTGGGAGGTGCTAGAGAAGGCTTTGTGCAGCGGTCAGACTGTACCATCATCAGTGCAGCACTGGATGGAAATAAATCTGGTGACATTGCAGGAGCTTATCGAAACAATGGCACAGTGAAAGTGTGTCGTAATCAAAGCTAAAGGAGGTCCAACAAAATATTAGGTAGACCCTTTTTTTTGGATGAGCAGTGTATGACGTAATCCCAGTCACTCCCAGGGCCTCTTCCCAGCTAAACTCGTCTGAAAAACCTTTATAGGTCTTAAGACGTGCACTACCTCAGCTGACCGTTTTCAATGAGGAGCTCTACAGAAGTTTTCCTCGCCTCTAAAGAACCCTTCTCACCTTAGATAATACATTTTAAATTGTTTATCTCAGCTGTCTGTGGAGGACTCTGAAGATGTGTGGATATTTGTGGTGTTGGTGTCGAGTTTCCTGCTCATTGGCCTTGGAGACTACCTGGCTTACTGAAAAATTAACAAGCTGTCGAGGAATATTGGCCTGATCCCGGAGCTCAGAGATGGTTTTGCACCGCGCTGTGAATTCACAGACTCAAATAATTGTCGAGATGAATCGTAAGCTTGGAACTTTGGCCGAGATTCATTCTTTAGCACAAAAGATGGATGCCATCAAGGAGAGAGTGGACGAATCAGCACGGATTGGGATAGATTAATGTCCATTATTGGGATCTTGAGAGGTTGAGGACCAACAAACTGTAAGACAGAGAGGAAATGATCTCTGTCTGGCCCCAAAACAATTTCTAATCGGAATCTGGCGTCTTTGAGCCAGCAAGGCTCCAACGAAAACTCCCCCCTCAGAAGATATGTGGAATGTGCCGTCGCTATGGCAACTCAACTCTGTCTCCTTTCCCAGCCTGGGCAGGACTGCGGGAAGGCCGCTGAAACGTTCCAGGGTCACTGCAACCCTCCAACCCTCAATGCTCCTCCCCCTATCCACACTGAGGTGACATGCGCTGCTTATCGTGGCTGCAGGAACTGAAATGGGGATAGTCCCAACCCACCACCCCACCTAGTGGACACTAATGTGCTGACTGAAGTCTGTTGCATATATGTTTGAGGCGTTTTTTTGCAGCGCAAAGCTGCTATCCTGGTGGGAGGGTAGCTCTGAAGTGCCTCTTTTCCCTCCACCTGAACCAACCCTCATGTAAACCCCTCTGATCTCTATTAAGGTAGTGCGACTCAGGGTTGCGAATGACCACAGTCACCAATTCTTGTCATGTGTCTTGCCCATGTGTGTCTGATCTCTGAATTGTGTGTACTGAAACTCTAATTTCCCTCTGGGATTAGTAAAGTATATTTTATTGATTTGAAAAGGGAAATCAGTTTTAGACGATAGACAGCAATGTTGGACATCTTTGTAATGCACATTCTCAAAAGACCTCAGCGCAGTGGATGGCAGAGGACGGAGAAACACATTTCCATTAGTTTCTGTAAAGACCGCTCAGCTTTGATCAGAAAATTAAGTCATGTCCGTTCCCTAAACTGACCAGCTTTTAGGGAAATACTTTTTAATATTCAGCATTCAAAAACAGTTTAGTTTGCTCCTTTTTTTTATTCAGCAGATTTTTTAATAGAATGCAAAGATTCAGCACTTGGAAACAAGTTCAAACACTGTATCTGATATGGCATACAGAAACAGAGAAGAGACTGGGTCATTACCGTTATTAGAATGTAAACTTTACAGAACAAAAGATGTTAAAATGCCACAAGAAGGCATTCGATATTTTACTGGTCATAAAAGTGTGACTGTGAATCAACGACAAAACACTCCCCACAAAAACATCTGCAAAACCGTCACACAGATATACACTGAAGATAAAAATAAACATAATTATTACTGTTTTTTTTATTCACCTACAATTAATGTTACATTTACAAGAAACTCATCAGGGAAGCATCCGCTTGCAGAAAATCAGCCGGTCCACAGACGGGGACGTGTGTGAAGGAAAAGAGTGGCTGAACACATGTAAGTATCACTTGTTATCATCCACAGAGAAGGTGAGATGGCAAATCACACAGATTGGCAACAGAGCGGATGGCTGGATCTAGTCGAGTTTGATTAGGAAATAGAAGACGAATGGAAAGTCAATCTATCCTGGTGTTTTAGCACAGCTAGCACACTTCTAGAGAAATGGGTGGAAGAGAAGCTAAGATGTTGGACTGAAATGTCAAATAAAAAGGAGGGGAGGGGTGAGGGTGGGGGTGAGTGAATGCCTGTCGTTCATCTTCTGTTCAGTCATCACTTCCTGTCCTTGTTGGTCTTTGGAATGGTGTTACTTCGATGCTCGGCGAGTTTCTAACGCCTGTAGCCAAACTCGTCTGCGTCGTCTGCACGGAAGTCTCCGTAGCGCCAGATGTTGAGCTGATGGGCAGACGGAACAGAAATAAAGACACTAATGAAAGGTGGTCACATGTATTGTGGAGTAGGGCTGCAACAACGAATAAATAAAAATTGATGAAGAAAAGCATTAGCAATGCATTTAGTCATCGATTTGTTGCGTTAAACTTTTTTTGCGTCGTGCAACCTTTATGTAACAGTCAATGCTCGCAGCTCATCGGTATGCAGCAGCAGATCTGAACAAGAGACATATGTCACACGTGCGATGAAAAAAAAGGTGCAACAAACTATTTTTAGAAGTAGCCCTTGTGCAACATCTTTTCAAGTAACTTTGTTCCCCAGAACTTTAGTGAACAAAGGTAATTTGTCTGCTATTGTGTAAGGAAGGTGCTTTTTACTGGTGTGCAATGTGCTAATCTAGGTGATGTGAAGGAAAACAGAGAAACCAGAGAACACAAAGGCAGAAACGGTCCAAAGTTTGGGCTCAAAAGTGTAACTACAGGCAGATTAGATAATGCTAGCGGTAAGCAGGCTCCCCATCAAGTGAGGTTCCAACAAAACACGATAGTTGTGAAACTAAGATTATCTAAACTCTACAAGCAGAAGAAAAGTTTCCATCATCCTGTTTATTCTTAGCCGTCTGCAGCGCAACGCATCAGAACCGCTGCAGTCAGGTTGCTGCTTCGAGTCTGCTCTGCTCTGCTGCAGGATTATGGCAGGCCACTGTAGCACGTAATTCACAAACGTGTCAATCTTTCAACATAATTTCAACTGGATTATTGCTAATTCGTACATAACATATCACCATTGCATATTGAGAAGTAGAAAATAAATATTAGCATTTCCAGTAGCTTACTACTGAACATGTTAATGAAATACATAAAATTTTACTGATCATAGTTGAACTGGATATATTTAGGTGATGGCGTGTTGTTCTGCACGCTATTGAATTGTTTTCTAATCATGTTCTGTTGTTAAAAGTAAAGGAAGGAGAGAAAAAAGTTTCCCTGGCAGGTTTTACATTTTCTCATTTAATTAAATTAATCGAGACGAGACGCCAAGCGATTCATCGATGATCCAAATAATCGTTTGCTGCAGCCCTACTGTGGAGGGTTTTAGTAATAAAGAGAAGATGAGGAAACAGACCATCAGCATCATCACTCTTTGTTCTGGCCTGTCCATTAAAACACCTCCAGTCTGTTACTTCTCCTGTATCGCATCATAAAGCTCCACACGCATCCTTTAAATGTCACCCCTACCACAACACGGATGGAAACGTGTGTGTGTGTGCCAGTGTGTGTGTGCGCCGGTGTGTGGGATGTTGGGTTTTTTGGCTCAGAGGTCTGTGCGCTCAGCTGTTAACGGTGTGATTCATAGCTAATTAGCAACTGTGCTAATTAGCACTAGTTATTAGGATGAATGAAATGAAGCCATTTTCCATTTGTGTGTGTGTATTTTGTTCTTCTGACACCCTGAAAACACTGTGGTGATGCTATTTGCACTCCTGCTTTCTTTTCTGATCCTGCTATGAAAGAATAAAAGGAATCGATTGCATCAGAATTTGGATTCTTGACCCTTTACGTAACAAATTTTAAATAAAACAAACCAAGCTGTAGACATTTGGAGTTTATTACTTCTAAAACTCTCGTTCTGCAGTAGGAGACGTCTAATTTTGAGGACGGTGACCTGCAGAAAGTGCAGCATAAGGAATTGTTTTTCATTTTTCTCAGAATAAAGTGTTTTAATTTTTCCTTAAAATCTGACATTAAAAAAGAATAGTTCAGATCTTTTAAAGGTGTGGGACACTCGTTTAATTAAAGCATTTGCAGAGGTCTCTAGTAGGAATGAATGCCTTATTGGTCGTACTCAAGGCAAAAAGTTACTGTATCACCTCGGAGAAACCTGCTGCAGCCAACCGTGGCAGAGCACAGCAAGATTTGGACACCTCACCTCTGATTGGCTAACAACAACGCGACTACCAATGACTTCATTTATTTTGCAACATTGATGTTTTATCCCCACAAATAACACAAGCCTGGAAGAGTTCTGCTGTGTGGTGAAGTTGCTAATGCTAATGGTTAGCTACTCAAGACGTTGTCTGCTGTTTCCTGGAAGCTAAAACAACAACAGCCTACTACAACAAGAGTCTAGATGGGTGAGTCCATGAATGTGTGATGTCACACTGTCAGGCTTTTCTAATCCTATAGTTTCACCATGTATTTTCTAACAGAAGCTAATGCAGAAGATAGGTGTAGGAGACTATTTTCATGTTCAGCCTACATGAAAAACTGTGACCAATTATAATCATTAAATGATAATAAAAAAAATGGGTTTTCAGCTTTCTGTGTACAAATGCACATTTGATCAACATCAAATCAAAGAAACAGAGATTAGCCTACACCTGATTGGTTAGGATAATGGATAATCAGTAACCACAACTTTCACATTACTTGGTTATTTGCACTGGAATTTAGCTACAGAGCTATCTCTACATAATAACCATTAAATCTAAAGTCAAAGTTATCAAGCAGGTGTTGTTGAAACTGGTCCAACAGTGACTAGTCAGCTTCACTGTCGAATATGAATAATTCCTAGTCACCTTTTTAATCACGTGATCTGCTTCATCCAACATGAATAGTATATTCCCATAAATACTTCCTGTTTGTGGCCCTGATAGGATTTTCTTCAGGTCAGCTTCACTGCAGTGCTCTACTAAACAACCTACAGTTACATGCCAGTCCAATAGGGGGCGCTACTGCTCTTGTTGGCCACTTTTACACAGATGAGCGATTTTTATCAAAGAAGCCCAACAAAATTTGAGCCCTTACAATCTACACAGATGATTAAACATAAACTGGTCTTTAACGTATTTTTCTATCCTTGTTGAATGTCTGGACAGTGCATCGTAAGACACAGTTCTATCTGTTGTATACTGAGAGAAAAGCAGCAAGGGACAAGTGATTATTTTCAGTATATTCTTCACAGAACTGGGGTTGTGCGAGAGAAAAAAGGATATCTAGAGGATTAAAAGGTGGAAAATAAAAGCAAATGAAGCTACTTACCCGGGCACTCTTGGCAGATTCTTGACTGTTCAGGTACTCTGTCACCTAAGGCAAAAAGAGATGACTCATTAGCATATCACAAAACTGCGTCACACACAGGATTTTAAAGGATTAAAGTGAATCAATGCATTCTTTCAACCTGCTCTGCCCCTGGAGATATCCCCTTTTAAGCTTACAGGGAATTAAAAAAAAAACAAAGTTCATCTTGTACGAAAGGGCACTTGCACACCCTCGTAGACACCGATCGTAAAGAGCACAGCTCTCTGAAGATCAACACGATCAAGATAGCACGCAGGCTGGTTATGTCACTGCAGGGAATGTGGAACCCACAAATGTGAAAGAAGCATAACCACGTTGTTGACGTCACATTATGTCTCACTTTTTAGGGTCACTGCTTTCTCGGCTGTGTGCAGGGCATCGCTTCATGCTTCATGCAACGACTTACACCATCAAAGTCACTCGAGATGAGAGCGTCTCCTAAATCCTCTCACGTACCAGCCTCGGGCCAACACCTAGTCAGTTTGCCGTAGAGATTTATAACCAAGAGCAGTCGTAGGACACCACGAGGAAGCCAACAGCTAAAAGGGGATAAGCTCCAAATTTTTACTCGTGGAAAATTTCAGCACAGGATGGTTTTGGGACGAGGGAATCACAGACAATCTAGTCAGCCCTGCTAGTAGTGTTTGTGCTTTAGCCTCGTCTCTTGAATCCAATAAATGTCACTAAGCAACACACACACAGTCTTTAAACACATGCATCCTCTTCATTTGGGTCCTTGTATTTTTTCTATTGCCTGCCACCAAAACATCTCATGACTGACTAGGGGGAGTTGAGTGAACCTCAGCGATAGGTGGATGCTCTTTTTAAACTATTCATTTTGGGAGGAAACCTGATTTTAGACGTCTGCCACAGAAGGTCAATGTTAAAGATACAGTTCTGTAGAAACTACAAGTCTTTATCAACACAAAGTTGGAGGCATAACAGAAACAGGAATGTTGTTTCACACATTTCCATCAAATAGAGCCAACCCAATTCAAAATACTCGCCAAAAGCTAGATTAGCTCAGCCAACAGGAAACAGATGGAATTCAGCAGTTTATTGGTAATGGTCGCGCCAGTGTTTCTCTTAAGATCTGATCTAAACCTCTAGAGCTCCATTTCTCAACATGATGATGATCTTAAACCAGTGTGTTGAATAATGAGTTTAAAACGCTAGCATGAAAGGTGGAAAAGGGTTATAAAGGTGGCAAATTCATTAATTCATGGAGTAAAGACCTCCAAAATATATCGTTTGAAATCACAGATTTCACATATTGGTCAGTCTTATGGAATAACGACACGGGTCAGTGAGAAACATTGTTTTTTCAAATTTGTGCAATATAAACCAAGCTGAATCAGGACTCTCCCTGGGCTGCCACCTTACCGTGGTGGAGGGGTTTGAGTGTCCCAATGATCCTAGGAGCTAAGTTGCCTGAGGCTTTCTGCCTCTGGTAGGGTCACCCATAGCAAACAGGTCCTAGGTGAGGAATCAGACAAAGAGCAGCCCGAAGACCTCTTATGATGAATGATATAAATGGAAACCGTGTTCCCTCGCTCGGACGTGGGTCACCGAGGCCCCCCCCCCCAGAGCCAGGCCTGGAGGTGGGGCACGTTGGCGAGTGCCTGGTGGTCGGGCTTTCACCCATGGAGACCGGCCGGGCACAGCCCAAAGAGGAAACGTGGGTCCCCCTTCCCATGGGCTCACCACTCGTGGGAGGGGCCAAAGGGGCCAGGTGCAGTGTGTGACGGGTGGTAGTCGAGGGCAGGGACCATGGCGGTCTGATCCTCGGCTATAGAAGCTGGCTCTTGGCACAGGTGCAGTGTTGAGCACATTGACCGATCCTAGAAAAGCCATTTAGCTCCTTTGAATGAGCCAGTGATGAGTCATAGAGGAGGGAGGGGGCATTAGATGAGGTGGATACAGTGTAAGTGGATGTATGGACCTCAGAGAGCCGGAGTGGCAAAGCTTCAGAGTGAAGATGTCCTTCACCGTTCCAATATCAGACCACATTATGCACAAGGTCCATCAACACACAAACACGTGTTGTCTCTAATGCCCGAGCAGCCCACATCACATTCTGTTTTAGCACCAGACATTAGCAGGACAGCAGCAGGAAATCAGCTTTAAAAGAAATAATTTTAAATCAAATTTCACTTGCAGCAAAGAACCGTCCATGTAATGGATTCAATTGTGCTGCATTTTGTTGTTGATTATAGCAGCAGATGACTTGGTGTGCATACGAGCAGCAGAAAAAGTCTGCCAGATGTTAAAACAGTCGAGTGGGATGGGGATGGATGGGACTCTGGAGTTAATTTGCTTAGCTAGCTTGTGCACATAGGTTGATTAGATAGCTGCGCTGCACTCACCACAGCCAAGATAACAGACATGCAGCTGGATGGTAGTCAAACATCTGAGTGTGTGACTGGGGAAAGTGCTGTGACTGCACAAGGCATCCATCAAAGCCAACTAAAGGGAGAGTTTTTTGGGGGGGAAGGCTTAGCGGTATGGCATGTTAATCCCACCAGGCAGATGTCACCATATGGAGGATGCAGCCAATGATATTTCTCACACACAAAATGGCTGTGATGCCATTTGAGCTTTGGAGGGGAGCTCTCAGTGGCTGTAGCGGTTTCTGGTGTCGTTCCTAAATGCTGCATATCAAGTCTTCGGTGGAGGTGTTCTAGACGAGCCAATGTGTGTACATTTACACAGGAACTGTTCACATTCCATCTATTTTCTGATAAGTCAGGTTGAGACAAAAACAGTTATTTTGGCAGATGCAAAGTCAAGAGCACTTCAGCACAATAAGCAAAGATGAGAAACTGTCGAATTTAAGATCTGCACCACTCTGGTCGGGAGGGTGCCTTTCCGGGCTCGCCCTTGCCTCTCATCGTTCCGCACAACTCGGTTCAGTAAACACAACAGCCAATCAGCTGAGCACCAGTGACGACTGACTGCGGGTTTTGAACCGCGCTATGCATCAGCCACCGGATCCGTCTTTCACAGCTCTTCTAACGACTCCAGCAGGGAGGCATAATGGCTCATTCATGACACAAGCACATGCAAAACAAGGAATTTTTCCCACTGGGAGAAAGAACTACTTCCTTCCTCTGTAAGATTTTGTAGCAAAGTAAAGAAAATGGTTAAAAAGAAGCTAACAGTTGATTAGTTTACTAATGAAACAAATGAAGGGGGACGGCAAAAAAAAAAAAAAAAACAGTGATTGTAAGGGTTTGGGTAGCAGAGAGCAGCTGGTGAAAGTGTTTGTCTGGACGACCCGACTGAGCTCCCATATGCCAGACAGATGCCATTCTGGTGAGCTGTGACCATAGACACCGGCAGTGGGTAAAACACGCGTTGGCTAAGGAGGTAACAGCATGTACGAGCGTCCCTAAAGGTGTGTGATTCATTTTTCTCTTGTTTACAGTTGTTAGTTTAATTCTTTCCTATGTTCAAACTTTAATAGGCTGATAGTTTTTATTTATGTTTTTCTGAACTCAGATTTAGCACCAAAACGGCACTAAATTACACTATTACTATGAGACCGTTATCATGCAGGCAGGTAAGCGTGACGAAAGCCTTGGTGGGAGGCTGTCGGAGAGGATTTTTGTGAGCTGAACGACAGGTGGTGTGGGCCCGGCGCTTTGGCACTGGTCGGTTTGTATGACTGGCTGTGAGTCTGCAAGAGCAAGCGCTGGCCCTCATGCCTTGTCCAGGTGGTGTTCTGGTAAACACGGTGTGAAAGTGATGGATGTGAGCACAAGCTAACGGCCCTTTTTTTCCGACTGGTTGCGTGTATCTGGTGCGTAGGTGAGCTGCCTGCTTTTTTCTTACTTTAAAAGCTTGAAGGAACGTTGAGTTACACTGGTTCTGGACAACCTGCTGACTAAGTCTTTAAAATCAGGTGTGAAACTCCAGTTCCAGAACACCAAGTGACTTAAAAACCACCAAAGAAATGAAGTTTTCACTCCACACAATGAAACACCCACCTTTTGTAATCGTCGGTTTGTTGTGACTTTGCTCTTCATTCATATTAATCTGATCTTTAATCTCGGCCTCCTTTAGACTGAAGGCAGGAACTTCTGTACGAGACGGTTCATCATCGGAGCACCAAGTGGAGCATAACGGCTTTTATGTTTGTAGCTCACGCTGTTTCAAGTTGAGTGTACTTGGCTGAGAGTTTGTCCTGAAAGATGTCTCTTGCTCAACATATCCATGCATGAATACTGCATGGTGAGCAGAGAGGAGGCCGGGCTTTTGGGGGATGTCTCTGCAGACATGTCATCCTACAAGTGGTTTTGATAGGAAAGAGCTTGTCTTAAAGAACCAGGGAGAGAATCCCCAAAAGCTTGTCGTGTGTGATGTTAGAGGGAATTCTCAAATGGGAGTGGAAATACTAACAGAATATCAGCAATTTTTGCAATAAGGAAAGCAAAAAAACAGATTTTGTGAAATTTATTCTGCTGATTTATATCTTCAAGCATTTGAGGTGCAGGAAGACCTTGCAATGGCAGAATTTATTTTGCAGAACTGAGTTTTCGCATGATACTTCAAAAGAGTAAAATCAGCTTGTTTTTAATGATGTTTTTAATAAATTAAGCAGAGATATGTAGGGTTAGCTGGAAATAACGTGTCCTCCCACCTATTGGGAAACTGTTTCCTGCTGACACCCAGCATGGCTGTCGGAGGAGATCATACGGTGTGGTGGGAACTAATATGACAAGCCCACCAGCATGGGTTCATTGAGTTAAGAGGTCACACTTGTGTAAAACATGTGCACAAGCAGCAAGTGCTAGTGCACTCTCCAGTGCTCTCCCACAGGCTCTAAATAAAGACAGAACAAGTGTGACGTGAACACGACTAAAGAGTTTAGCCGTTTTTCCTTCGACATTCCTGTAAAATAATTACAAGTTTGACTGTTCCTATCACCTGCAGGTGTGTGTGTGTGTGTGTGTGTGTGTGTGTGTGTGTGTGTGTGTGTGTGTGCAGAAGATGAAACAGTGTTT